GATACAACTGAACAACATTTTACCAAATCAACAATCTGGATCAAGACTTCACCTATCCACATTAACAAGAGTCAATCATATTATGGAACAACTAACCCAATCATTAAATCACAATTCGTTTTCAGTGATTGTATATGTTGAATTTCTACAAGCCTTTGACATGTTATGGCATCAAGGATTTATTTTAAAACTATATCAACTCCATTGTCCGGATGGTTATTTATTTTGGATAGTTAATTACTTTAAAGATCGTACAATAACTATTGACTATCAAGGGCATCTGTCCAAACAAGTTGACGTATCTCGTGGAGCTCCACAAGGTTCATGCTTTGGACCTAAAGCTTATATTGTAAATCATTTTGATTTACCAACCTTTTTTGATTGTCCATGTGATGTACATCTGTATGTTGATGATTTGGCTATATTATATTCTCCATCAATCTATCGTAAATATTCACAGCAAGTAGACGAAATACAAACAAGAATTAACAACGATCTTCTAAAGCTAGCTAGATATGCTGAATCAAATCATCAACCCATTAATAATAAGAAAACAGAATTTGTCATTTATCATAAAACAGTTCAATTCCAAAAATTCAAATTTTCTATCAAGGTCAATCTATCCTAAGACAAAACTCTTTCAAATATCTAGGCTTCCACATTGACTCTAAATTATCATTCAACGTCATGATCAATGCTCAACTCGTCAAATTAAGAAAATCATATTCAATACTAAAATACATTCATAGAGCATTTAAAACGTTCTTTGCACTGAAAATAAAATTTTTTCAAACATACACATGGCCTCACTTATACATGCTTGCATCAATTTTTCTGTTTGTTCTCAATCTCTAATCAAAATCGTTTAAACTCATTCTACAGGCGGTGCCTCAGACTCATATACTGTACATATAGAATATCTTCAGCTGATCTTCACACAAACATTAAAATTTCTAAAACGAATGAAAAATATACAAATATATGAACAGGATCTCTTGGATTGTTTTATATCATACAAAAATATTAAGAATGATGTACATCAACATTACAATAACAAACCAAATATAATTGGTCTTCCGATTGGAAGGCCAAATAAACGAATTATATCTTTTACAGAATTCAACAGCTCCACCTTTCTTGACAAATTGGAAATATAGCAAACGCACTACTATTATCATCACAACTCCTAGCCGTTAATCCTGAAATTCTTCCTTCATTTCTTTTTCTTGTACAAATAACTACCATTAGCCTGTCAGCACCCTAGAGGTGAATTAGCCTCCCAAATAAACATAAACATTAATAAAAAAAAATAGGACTGACTACTAATTCTAGATCCTACAATTGCTGAAGGTTCTATATAAAACAAGCTTTATTTTCTATTAGGTCCAAATTCGTACAAAATATTGACCGTCCATTTAACAGTATAAAAGTTTACGACAATAACGAACTCAGTCAACGAGAATCTTTGAAATCATTTTGAATAATAACTTGCTGGTTGTTCACAGATAAATATGTACACTCATTCAACGATTGACTTTTTTGATTTATTTCATCAAGTCGTAACGAGAATGATTATCTCTTTCAGTGTATTTTTTGTTGGATTTTTTTTCAAAAAATAATGTTAAACCATTTTTTAAGCAATCTTGATGATACTTCCTAGTACTTCTTGGCACTTCTGTACTTCAGAAGTATAGAAGTACGCTTCCCCCCTCCCCCCCCTTGTTGGAGATACGTTATTATCAGGAGAAAAATAAATATTGTCAGCTATTATGAGTATGAGATTGTTTGGGTTGAGATGAGTTATTAGTGTGAATCAAATGGATACGTTGTCTAATTCAATAGAGATTGGAAATTTGCCATTAACATGGCATTGTCGTAGCAGTTCGGCGTGGTCCGCTCTGCAGTACCTATGGCATTCGACAAGGGGGATCTTTCCCTTGTCGTGCACGCGCGTAACCCAAAATGAGCTGAGAAAGATCGAAAAAAAAATACCAATGCAAAGAAATTTATTGAGCAAATCGAAAACAAAAAAAACGAATTACATTTTCTTTCTATTTTTTTCAAATGTTTTTTTATATTCAATGAAATGTGGATGAGTTGAAGATAATTTTTCTTGAGCTATTTCTATCGCTTGTTGAATATTTTTCATGGACAAATTATATTGTCGACTAGATAAATATAATTTTGATAAATTGTGATATACAACAGCTAAATCAGGATGTTTTTTTGGTAACTTTTTCTCACGTATTTCTAATCCCCTTTGAAAATATGTTAATGCTGTTGAATAATCTTTCATTTTTCGATAAGTTTCACCTAAATTTATATATGTCGTTGCACATTGCAGTGGGTTACATTGAACATTTTCTTGAATATTTAAGGCTTTTCGATGAAATTCAAGTGCCTTTTCATACTTACCCATTAAACGATGAACATCACCTATGTTACTATATGTAGTAGCGCGATCTGGATGATTTTCAGGTAGGGTTTTTTCACGTATTGAAAGACATTTTTCAAAGTTTTCAAGTGCTTTTGGGTAATCTTTCATACTGCGATAAACTTTTCCAAACCAGTTGTACGGATAAGCTAAATTCGAGTGATTAGCAGGCAGTGATTCCACCAAGATTTTTTGTGTTTTTTTGAAATATTCAAGTGCTTTCGAGTAATCACCCATGTTGGCATACACTCCACCGATGTTGTTGTACGAAACAGCCAAATCGGGATGATTCGGAGGCAGAGCTTTTTCTTTTATTCTATCTGATTTTTCGTAGAATTCAAGTGCTTTCGAGTAATCACCCATGTTGTTATACACTAGTCCGATGTTGTTGTATGAAGTAGCCAATGAGGGATGATTCGGAGGCAGAGCTTCTTCGAAGATTTGATGTGATTTTTCGTAAAATTTAAGTGCTTTCGAGTAATCACCCATGTTGGCATACACTTGTCCGATATTGTTGTACGAAGCAGCCAATGAGGGATGATTCTGAGGCAGAGCTTTTTTTGTAATTTCTAGATCTTTTTCGTAAAATTGAAGTGCTTTCGAGTAATCACCCATGTTGTTATACACTAGTCCGATGTTGTTGTATGAAGTAGCCAAATCGGGATGATTCGGAGGCAGAGCTTTTTCGTAGATTTTATGTGATTTTTTGTAAAATTCAAGTGCTTTCGAGTAATCACCCATGTTGTTATACACTCCACCGATGTTGTTGTACGAAATAGCCAATGAGGGATGATTCGGAGGCAGAGCTTTTTCGTAGATTTTATGTGATTTTTCGTAAAATTCAAGTGCTTTCGAGTAATCACCCATGTTCTTATACACTTGTCCGATGTTGTTGTACGAAATAGCCAAATGGGAATGATTCGGAGGCAGAGCTTTCTTTGTAATTTCTAAATCTTTTTCGTAAAATTCAAGTGCTTTCGAGTAATCACCCATGTCTTGATACACTTGTCCGGTGTTGCCGTACGAAGTAGCCAAATCGGGATGATTCGGAGGCAGAGCTTTTTCTTTTATTTTATGTGATTTTTCGTAAAATTCAAGTGCTTTCGAGTAATCACCCATGTTGTTATACACTCCACCGATGTTGTTGTACGAAGTGGCCAAATCGGGATGATTCGGAGGGAGAGCTTTTTCGAAGATTTTATGTGATTTTTCGTAAAATTCAAGTGTTTTCGAGTAATCACCCATGTTGGCATACACTTGTCCGATGTTGTTGTACGAAATAGCAAAATCGGGATGATTCGGAAGCAGAGCTTTTTCTCTTATTTTAAGTGATTTTTCGTGAAATTCAAGTGCTTTCGAGTAATCACCCATGTTGGCATACACTTGTCCGATGTTGCCGTACGAAATAGCAAAATCGGGATGATTCGGAAGCAGAGCTTTTTCTCTTATTTTAAGTGATTTTTCGTAAAATTCAAGTGCTTTCGAGTAATCACCCATGTTGTTATACACTTGTCCGATGTTGTTGTATGAAGTAGCCAAATCGGGATGATTCGGAGGCAGAGCTTTTTCTTTTATTTTATGTGATTTTTCGTAAAATTCAAGTGCTTTCGAATAATCACCCATGCTGTGATACACTCCACCGATGTTGTTGTACGAAATAGCAAAATCGGGATGATTCGGAAGCAGAGCTTTTTCTTTTATTTTATGTGATTTTTCGTAAAATTCAAGTGCTTTCGAGTAATCACCCATGTTGGCATACACTTGTCCGATGTTGCCGTACAAAGTAGCCAATGAGGGATGATACGGATGCAAAGCTTTTTTTGTAATTTCTAGATCTTTTTCGTAAAATTGAAGTGCTTTCGAGTAATCACCCATGTTGTTATACACTAGTCCGATGTTGTTGTATGAAGTAGCCAAATCGGGATGATTCGGAGGCAGAGCTTTTTCTTGTATTTTATGTGATTTTTCGTAAAATTCAAGTGCTTTCGAGTAATCACCCATTCCGTTATATGCCAGAGCGATGTTACTGTAGATAGGAGACAATGAAGAATGATCTTCTGGTAGAGTTTTTCGTTGGATTTCGAGAGATATCTCATAAAATGCAATTGCTTCTGTGTCTTGTTCTTGATGATATTTCACTTCTCCAAGCTGATTATAGATACCTGCTTTGTCGCTGTTGTTGGAGGTCTGTTCAAGTAGTGCCGTATATAATTCTTCGGCCTTGTCAAATTGACCGATTCTGAGTAGTAATTGGCCCATTCGATACCATCTACTGCCATCTATCTCTTTGTTCATCGTAGCGGTAAGATTCGCTAGTTGTTCGTCGTTGTCATCAGTAAGAGTTAGTTGTACTTCCCAGAAAGGTCTGTTGTTCATCGTGGTTTGTTTTAAATCTTGTACACGGAAAACGGTGTGCATTGAAAAAAGTATTTCGTTTTCTGTTTTAACCGCTGAATATTCTTCAATAGAAGCAAATGGTATGTTTTTTCGTGTTATTTTTTCTGGTTCAATTGTCATTATAAATAGGACGCCGACGTTCTGTTCAGATTTTCGTAAAGATTCTTTAAGAAATCCTATTGCTACATGTCGTTCGGTACTTGTTGATAAAAAATTATTAAACGAAAGAAGACCGCCTTTGATATGGGATAACTGTTGAAAATCATCTTGACTAATGCCTTGTCCACGATAAACAGTGAATTTTTTATTAAACTGATCAGATTGTTTTTCATGAAGCTGCTCCAACTGTTGATGAAGAGCTCGCATGAAAAATGCCATCTTCAGCATTATTTCTATGTCGAACAGACGTAGTGCCATGTTCAACATACTATATAAAAAGAATTCACATGTATACCACCAAACGGGCGACCTCTGGTGGTACTTCTCTTCCAGCTCTTTCAAATGGTTTTCAGGAACGTTTTTGCTACGGGCGTAGACAATCAAATCATTTAGTGGTTTATTACCATCTTCGTCAATTTCCAAGATGATTTCTTTGAACAGGATCGAGTACATGTATGTTGGTGGTAGTTGGTCCAGATTTTGTTCGCCAACTTGTGTACTTTCTTGAAGGTTTTGCTTCGGAAGGAAACTCATTGGCATTGAGTCGTGGTCGCATTTACGTACGACCTTCTTCAAAGACTTGCATATTCGACGGATTGAAGTGTAAACGCCTTCAATCTTAACCCAATTTTTCGCCCAGGGTTCATGATAGGCTTTGTTGCGACAAAAAATATAAATGGTATCCAATCGTGGAATACCATGTATCTTTGATACAAACTGCTCTCCAAGAGCACCTGATGAGATGACAAATACTTTACTGTCATCTAAATCATTAAGGTACTTTATGCACTGTGCAGGTTCGGTGCATATGGTGATCTCGTTTACCACCTCGCGCAATTTCAGCAGTGTTTTTTGGCAATCTGTATTTCCTTCGTCAATCTTCTCATCCACCCAAATCATCAAATAATTTTGTATCCGGCTTTTCCGAGTTCGGCTGTTGGAGAACTCGGTAGCTGTCGTTAATCTGTTACTTTTGTTTTCTTCGCCTGTCCAAGCTATACAAAAATGAATTTCACTTAATATATTTGCTTTTTGTTGTTGGATAAAAGTAGGATACAGTTCTGTGCGTGTGGCTGGGATTAAAGATGATTAAAACATTGAAACTCGCACCTCACATGCACTCAAACCTCACTACAAACACAATCACGTTCAAATCCAAATTTAATCAAACCCAAGTGAAAAATTAGGTTTAGCTTCGATGCATCCGTACCAATGACGAAAGAAAGTAAACTTCGCTTGGTTTCAATAAGGTTGAATGCATGGATATCCAATGCATTTGGTGTATTATCCATTGGATATTGTCTTCAATACAACTGTTATATAATAGTTACTTTGAACAACATATCCAATGTACAATATGCCATTGGCACTCAAATTCAACGTTTAGTCTATGTAATTCGTTCAAAACGAATTCACTGCTTACTAAGGAGAGTAGCTGCTATTAGGTCTAGAAGTCAATACAGCTTAGTCGATTATTTCATGAGTATTAAGACGCCGAACTCTCGATACCCTAGCTTCCTCTATCATGATATTTATGCAGGTACACAGACTCTATGAAAAAATATCGTATGTCGTAGCTTTTTTAGAATAGATCGAAAATGCAGTAGTTTAGTAAGGCGCCTATATGTGTACTGCTTAGAAATTCTTGTAATTTACGGATAGTTAGCATACAACAAAAGTGTATCTATGTTGAACTGAAAAATCGATACAATGTCATTTTGCTTAAGTCATCATATTGAAACCATGTCTGTTTTGTTACTTACCGGATGGTTTTACTTTGGTATTGTCCATTGTTCAGCTAATTGATTAATCACGATAAGAAATTATGTGAAATCTAGAAATAGAAAAATAAAAATTATAAATTTAGGCCATTGTAGAGACTCAAATAAAATGGCTACTCTGTATTCTCTTGTTCATACCAAGGGACAATCCTGGTTTCTGAGTATCATCGAAAACACTAGAAACCATTTTTTTCTAATAGGCAAAAGTATTCTTACCGATTTATTAACTAATACTACAAGGCATGCTATTAACCGTTTCATTTATAATAAATATAAATAATTTACTTTTCTTCTATTTATCAAATATCCGTTGAATTAAATGATCATATTCCTCCAAATAATGATTGACAAATTCCTATTCTAGACTTGAAATAAAATCGAATAGAGCAGAATTTGTCTAGAAGTAATAAAAATTATTCAGAATTTCTATGCAGGTAGAAAACCAAGTGATAAAAAAGATTCCAGTATGATTCTTTCTTCGTGGAATTATGTTTCAAAGAAATCTAACAAGAATTTATAAGACATAAGCGAAGATAATCATGCGGAAAATTTGAATCTTCAACCAGTATCTCAACTATAGATACATCGATCTGTAAAAAATCATGTGAGAAGTTACCTATTGTTGCGTAGAAAATTCAAGCTTCTCTTGATTCTGAAAGTAGACTAAACCTTTTCTAAATTTTACATGTTTAGAATCGTTTTTCATAGATTCTAGATGATTGAGAAGCGGTCATTTCATATTTAGTAAAAACAAGCACTCATTTGTGATATGACTTTCAGAACTGAGAAAGGTGTCGTAGAAAATTATTGTGATGTCCTTAACATATCCACTAAACAAGAGTCAAAAACGGCTCCATAGTATCGCCGAGTTTTCTCTGTGAGATCTCTTTCTAGCCAAATAATTCTCTTTTGATTCAAAGAATATATCAAACCTCAATGACTATATCGTAGTCTATTTTTTATTAAAGTCTTATCTTTTGAAAGAAACAAACCGCGAAAATGCAATGATTTAAAAAACATTTCTGAAAGTTACAAAAAAGAATTTGACTTTATCTTCAATTTTGATAGAATTGTACTAGACATACGTTATTTAGCTACACGTTCTGAGAGAAACGAAAAATTAATCTTAATTTCGAGAATCCTGACGAAAAGAGACTTTTGAGATGAGATTGGAGAAACTAATAGTGATTTGTACAAATCTGTTCTAGACATTGAGATTGATCAATGACGTAAACAAGGGAGAAGCAAATGAACAACTGTCAATTTCAATTGAATATTTATCCGTTACAAGTTTACTCTTCTTCAAGGTTTATTTAAAATTAAGGAGCAACAAGAGCTATTCCTCGTAAACCTGGGAATATCTGTTAACTTGGGTGTGGGTGGGGGTGCGTGGCTCCACAGAATATCTACACATACACGCACATCCTTAAGACGGTGAAAGATATGTCATAGGAAAATTATATTGAGTATTAAAAAATTATGTAATAATGCATTGAACGAAATTTCGGTCTGATACTGATGTTACTTATTGGAGAAGGAATTAAAGAAAAATATTAACGGATATCCAGGTAAAGGAAGGGGTAAAAGAACATAGTATATAAGATATCACCAATTTCATGAACAGTCCCGATAAATAGTCGCCAAACGGAAAAGAAATTGATTGAGCAGTTATTGCTGCTGTTGAATAATTGGGTAATCTAGATTTAGGTGGTAATTTTCTTCTTCACTTTTAATGCACAATACGAAGCAACTCTCAAATTCTCTTACTTTATAATGCTTAGAATTGACAGACAGTTATGATCCGAGTGCTCAAATTTCTATATAATATTTAATATCAACAGTTTTTTTCTATCCAATATATAGTAGAATTTCTCATCTAAAATTATCTATATAACAGTCCTATCTTGAACTTAATTCTAAATATCTTTCCAATTAAAGTAATAAAGAACATTTTCGAAAAAGAATTTAAAAAACTGAAGACAAACTGTAAGAAAGAATGCAACTTTGTACAACTAATACTGATGGTTATTTTGAACATGTAATATAAAACAAAAAATATCTCCTTTCTTTTTTATATTTTTATATGATGTTATCAAAACCTTTGGTCAGCTCTAAGTACAGTCTATCTGAAAGAAAGTTACACCTAAAGCCAAGATAGAGCGGTTATATGCATTATTTTAGACGAAGCGTTTTACTAAATATGTACGTTATGAAACATCCAATATCATCTATTTCTTCAAACGTTCAACAACGGCATCTACAAGGTTGGTCAATGCTAGATAAGTAGCGCAATGTTATCTTAAAAAGCACAATGAAGTTTTGCTAATACGCTATTTCTCATGGGGTAACGGCCAACGATTCTCTATGTATTAAGGAAGATCTGTCTTAGCAATCTTATTAAAATAATGGTGACTTCACAAATGAATGGTGGATATACGAATTAAAAATACTGTACAAAAGGACTTTGTCTAACTTCGTGATTTCTTGCGAATCAGGATATACCATGTGATTTTGCAGCGGTATTCGTGTTGCATCGAATGGCATATACGATAGAAAAATGTTCTCAAATGTTGTTTGTGGCCTCTAAGAAGTTGTAAGCTGATGTTATTCATATTTTGTTGTTAAACACCATTCGATGCAGTGGTTGATGCTCTACAATTTTTATAAAGTTCAGAGTTTTCATCGATGATTTCTTCTTCGAACATAGAAAGGAAACAGAGCTAAGAGTTTCATTGTCCAAAACAATCAACAAGAATATATCGAATTAGAAATTACAGGCTTTTATTTAACCTAATAATTTTTATACTTTCGATGAATTTCTTTGAAAACAAGCGTACGGCGTGAGATGTTACAATAATTTCTAAGTTACCGCGTTTGTATTTAAAACACTAGGTGAATTGTTTCCTTTTTTGTACAAAAAAACAACGTTTCTTCCACACTTAGTAAAACAAATGATTCGAAAACTTCACCAGACAAACTCAGAGAATGTATAGTATATTATTCGACACTGACATACCCTCTTTCAAACGATGAAAACTGTGACTCTATATCTCTTTTTTCTTAAAATTCATTTAAAAATTGCGCACTTCCTTTTCTCTTCAATAGTCATTAGGATAACATTCACATAAAACAGAAATAAAAACTATTATAGAAACTTTATGGCTATAATATCAGCTGAACAATGATGAAAAACCATAGAAAAATGATGCATACTCTGAAAAAATAAGATGCTACCCATGAATAAAAATGATTTTGCCTTCAATATGAAACTTGTAAAACGCTTCGAACACAAGTGCAAAACTTTAAAAAGGCTTCATTTTCGTTGCAAAAAAGGTTTCGAATAGTATATTTTCTTTTCGGTGCACTGTTTGTACTATCTGGGCATATAAAACAAAAGTTTCCTATAGTTTTCTGTATATGCGCAAA